GGTGTGGCGGCTCACGCCTATAATCCTAGCACTCTGGAAGGCCAAGGCAGGGGGATCACTTGAAGTCAGGAGTTCAAGACCAGCCTGAGCAAGAGCAAGACCCCGTCTCTACTAAAAATAGAAAAATTATCCTGGCATGGTGGTGCACACCTGACGTGGCCCAATTGATTACAGGACGGGGGATGACACAGAACATAAAATAATGACACAGACACACATGGACATGACAATGACTCGAGTCCAATGCACTGGTCGCTTTATTTTTATACCCCCCAGACCCAAGGTTAGTCCCTTGTACGTGAGCATCTGAGCATAGCAGCGATATCAGTCAATTCCGGAGTTGTATCAAAAGGGAACAATTTCCCATGGTCCCAGACCTCTAACGGTTACTAAAGTTAAGGTGCCGAACAGAGCTCAAAAGCCAAGGCCGAGATAGGCAACATAAAACAATGCAGCCATTTGTAGTGTTTCTTGGTCTCAATCCCAGGCGGCGGCTCCTTTCTGAACCCCACGTTTGTGCCTGTTTTAGGTCACCCCTCTCCATGGGGAGTCTTACCCGTCACTGACTACCAACCATCAATCAGGGGCCAGTTCTTGGGAGAGTTCTTCTTGTTCTTGTTCTCCTGGCCTCCAGACTCCCACCACGGGGGCCTCCGTGTGGGAGTTGGGGGCATTTGCTTATGTGCAACAACTCAGGCCTCTTATCAAGTCACAAGGCAGCGACTGTGTCTGAAGAAAATGCTGACTACCACTGCGTCAGGCAGCGCACGTACATTACAGAGTGTAGTGAATGATTAGTATAAGGCATAACGCCAGAATCAGCCCCCAACACACGCCTTGTAATCCCAGCTACTCGGGAGGCTGAGGCAGGAGAATTGTTTGAGCCCAGGAGTTTGAGGTTGCTGTCAACTAGGCTGATGCTACAGCACTCTAGCCCAGGTGACAGAGCAAGACTCCATCTCAAAAAAACTAAAATTATACATATAATTTTAGTTCTCCATCAATTCAAGCTCATGTAATTCTTGTTCTATTTGATGTTGGCTTAGCAATCTTCAGGAACGCATTGATTTTTATTAGAATTCTGGAAGATTTATTTATTCCATTGATCTTAAGTTATCAGAAATATGTGCTGAAGAGTAGAGTCTTTTCCATGAAAAGCAATTTTGGACTTTATTGATTGGAAATGATTTAAGAGAACTCAAAACAATATCTGTGAATGACATAAACATAGAATAGCTGCAATTAAAATCTGATGAAAGTTCCCAATTGGCAAGGATATTTTGTTATTTCCATTGCATGAAGCATTTTTAGATAACAACCAGAAATATGACTGACAGCATCACATCAAAACCATCAGACTTTTATAAATTTTATATAATCTTTAGGACATGCACTTTGATGACATTCATACAAACTTTAGAAAATATTTAACATAATCAAAATTATAACTAATCACATTACATTTTTATGAAATTATATAATTTTCATGATGCTTACATCAAAAACATAATCATAATGTAAGTTAGTGGATAAAATCCAACTTCAGTTTGAAAATCTCATGGGACTATACATCACCTGATGTAAAATTTTACAAATTTGATTAGAAGCTGTATATTTTGTCCAACTATGGTTGTCCTAAAAAATCTAGCTACAATGTGCCATTTGAAAACAAAGCTTCATTTTGAGAAATAGTTTTGGAAACAAATAATCATGTTCAATGTGTTTGTGTGTTATAGGTGCTGGCTGTTTTCCTAAGATAATCTCAACTCCCCATGCAAACCCTGTTCCTGCACTAACAGTGGAAATGATCATCACTTTCCCTCAAAGAGATGAGATCTTGATGTGTTAAACCTTTATCTTGGCATTCTGTTGTTCCCTCTGCACAAGCGTCGAACTCTAAGCACTACAGACGCTGTCCTATTCCAATGACACAGGCTATGTAGCACTTCTTTTCTAATAGTTTTCAGATTCTTAAAAGGAATTGATTTAAGAATATGAAGTAAGAAATAGTGTATTAATGTATGTGTACACACACACACACACACAATTCTTCACTGGGTTATACATAATCCCTGACTACCAATAGCTATTTTATTAATATGTGGGAACCATAAGCAGAACTAAACTATTGTCCTGTCTGAATGCCATCTGTACAAACACCTACCATCTTTCTCGTCCTGGACTCCATGTGGAGTCGTTTTCTCTTGTTCCTTACTCAGCATACTGAAACTCACAAAGCTGACTCTAACGTTCCACCCTACACACAGCTGAAGATAAAGAAGATCATGTTTGTCAGGTTCCCGCTAAAAGCAGACACATTTTACGTTTAAATGACTCTATGAAATGATATGCCCGCTTGGATTTATAGTCCTTGGGAGCACCTAAAATAATATTAAACATTTTTAGCCTCTGGGAGATGCATTTCAAAGAACTTGAAATAATATATCTCTAACCAATTATTTGCTCACAACAGTTCCCCCAAATCCCTGTAGGGTGCCTTAAAAAAAAAAAAAAAAGCGAAGCTCCTCCGCAGCCCTCAGAGGCGGTGACTCCATTTCCCAGGCTTCCGGCCAAGCTTACCCCCATGCCACGTGACCATTCCTCCTGGTGGTCCAGGCGAAGAGCGACTTCTGCAGGGAGCTAGGGAGATCTGAGAACTACATTACCCAGATGTCTGTGCGCCAGCCGCCCCAACTCTGTTGGGGTGGGACTTCCGGCGTGGAGGACGTTGTCGCTGGTCTTGGCTCGTTGACGCCGGCCCTGGAACTAGATTGAGGTGTCGGGAGCGACGAGGCACGAGTAGAGAAGAGTCGTCACCGCGGCACATCAGGGGATCTGAAGGTCCGCGACAGTGGTGACGGCTTTGCCCGGGTCCCCACCGGATCGATCGTTCGGCGCTCCAGGCCTTGCTCAGCTCACGAAGTCCGATGGCGGCCGCCGCGCGGAGGGACCCGGCTCAGGTGAGTGCTGCGTCCTTCGGGCCTCGCCCGTCGTCACCTTCGCCCGTCGTCACCTTCACCCGTCGTCACCTTCACCCGACTCCTGAAGCCTGGAGTGAGGGCGCCTGCCGACGTCGCTAGCCCGGGCCCCTGTGTCCGGGACAGCGAAGCGCTCGTGCGTGGGGTCCCTGTTTCTAACAACCACTGTGACGGGCTGTGGGAGAGTGTGACAGAGTGGGGCCGGCTCGTGTAAAGGCTTGGAGGTGCGACTGAGCCGGGAGGGTTCGGGAAACCCAGGATGGCTGTGTGTGTGGAGGGGACAAAAAATGAGAGGCAGCGTCGCGCCTGGATTGGCTCACTGCTATTTTTTTTTAGAAGACTAGGAGCCATAGCATTGTGAACAGAAGAGGGACACGGCTTCAATTACACTTTTAAAACTTTTACAACAGCTATTCAGAGGAACACAGTGGAAGGGGATAAAATAAAAAACGATAATAGATGGCACACAAGGATTTAGTCCTTTTACAAGGTCACATAGCTGGTAAAAGCACCAAGGAGTGAGACTCACATACAGTGTAGTCATCTCAGGTCACCTGTGTTTAGTGTTCGACTGGGCAACAGGAAAGCCCAGAGCCCATGGAGCCCCACCCTTGTCACCTGCCTCTCAGAACAATTCTCCCAGATTGCCAGTAATACAGAAGTGCTTACAGAGCCCTACAAAGGTGAATAGAGGATGTCCATAACCTTACTCATCCAAGCAGTGTGATCTCTGGAACTGAGGTGTCTTGGGACTCTTAACCTGCCACACTTCCTGGCATTGGGCCTGAGGACCCTGAAGGGATTAAGCACATGATTCTTATCTAGGCTGGAGTTTATATGGAGTAGTTCTTATTGCTCACAAACAATGGAATAAGATGTGGAAGTTTGTGCCAGTTATAGATACTAGTGTTTGGAGATACTTGAAAGTAAGGTGGAACTGATTCAGGGAACCATAAGTCTCCTTTCTTTTTCATTGGATCAGGGGTATAAGAGTCAGGATTCAAATGGCTCTCTTAGATGTTGGAGTCTATTCTGGAGGTGACACGAGAATGAGAGATTTGGAACACAGGAGGGAGGTAATCTGACCCAGGTCTCATCAGTCTCTGTGGGTTAGCATGAAGAACAGAATATGAGTGTGAGGGAGGTGGTAGCAAGACCAGGGACCAGGCTACTGCAGTACTCCAGGTGAGTATAGATGGTATGGACCACAGCTGTGCCTGTGACATGGTAGAAATAGTCGCATTCTGGATTGGAGGTATGCTCTAATTTTCTGATACTGAAGCTGAGACAAAAAGAGGTGACACAACAGGGTTTTGGGTTTAGCATCTAGAAGGATAGAAACCCCATCTAATAGGAGGGGTAAGTAGATAGAAGCATTATTTTTAATTAAGGATGTCAGGAGTTTGTTATGTCCATGTTAAAGGTGTGAGATATTTCAGAGAATATATGAGTGGATGTATCACGTGGGTAGGCGAACACATGGGTTTTGGACTCTCAAGAGGGTTTCAGTATTGGCACGACTCTAAAGGGTGGTGGATAGTGGGTGGACCAGGATGGGGCTTTGTGTCTTAGTCAGCTTGCTTAAACAACAAAATTTTATTTCTCACAGTTCTGGAGGCTGGGGAGACCAAGACCAATATTCTGGCAGGTTTGGTTTCTACGGATGGCCACCTTCTTGTTGTGCAATGGCTGCCTTGATTCTTTCTCATATGCTATTCCTGGGAGGCAGCTGTGGAGAGAGCAAGAGAGTGGTCTCTTCCTGTTTTTAAAAGGACATTAATCGTCTCTTGAGGTTCCCACTTTTTTTTATGTTTTGGAGACAAGGTCTTGCTTTGTTGCTGGGGTTAGAGTATAAGGATATCATCATAGCTCATGGCAACCTCAAAGTCCTGGGCTCACATGTTCCTCTTGCCTCAGTCTCCCAAGTACCTAAGATTATAGGTCTGCTTTACCACAGCTGGCTAATTTTTCTATCTTTTGTAGAGATAGGGTCTCACTCTAGCTCAGACTGGTCTTGAACTACTGGCCTCAAATGATCCTCCCACCCTGGCCTCCCCAAGTGCTAGGATTATAGGTGTGAGCCACCACACCTGGCCCAGTTTCCACTCTTCTGATCTGATCTAATCTAATCAGCATCCAAAGTCTCCATCTACAAATACTATCACATTGCCTTAGGCTTCATTGTGTTAGTGCTTCAATCTGGGAAATTTGAGGCAGACAGAAATATTTAGCCCATAACAACATGGGTCACATTACTAGAGGGAACCCAGGTCATGATGATAATGTTAATGTCAGGCGGGAAGGGGAGGGCAGTCTCAGACTTGGATATCTGGATGGATGCAGTTGATGGCTCAAACAGAGGCAACAGAGAAAAATGGCCCTGGGGATAGCGTATGAGAGGGTGACCTGGCAGGGGTTCACGGCTTCTGAGGGTTGTGTGAACATGAAATAGATGTAGAAGCCCAGGAGTAATTCAGAGAAGATGATGCCGAAGCCAGAGCCAATGCTTGTTTATTGCTCAGTGTACTCATCAGGATCTTATCATGACTCTTGTGTCCAGAAGTTTCAGTCAGGTGGGTGGATCAGTTTATGTGCATAAGTAGTTATCTGGGAGAGTCACTGAAACTTGAGTAGAGAGCCACTGGGGCAAGGATTTGAATGAAGGTTGGCAAGAGAGGAAGGCAGTTACTGTTAAAAGCAATACAAATTGGAAAGGGCTGTGCATTTCTGACATCTACCCGTGATTCCGGATGGCTGAAGTTGAATGAAGGAACACAGTCAAGTTGGGAGGCTTCAGAGCAGGGTTTAGGGCTGCCCATGACAGTGGGAGACATCAGAGATCTGGATAATACTGCATTCTGTTCAATTTTCATGCACTTTCTGGATGCCTTGTACTGAGTTACATGCAGGAAGGCGGTCTCCTATGGCACTTACTACACAGGAGATGCCTGTGTTGTGGGATCAGGCTAGAGGAGTCTGTACAAGTACAGTTGGTGAGAGATGTGTGTTGGAAATAGTGATGTGCACATGCAGAGAGAGTGTGAACTTATGTTCTAAGGGCCTTGGCATGGGTGAAGTGTGAACATGAATATTGGTTGTGTTTGAATGCCATCTGGGGGATTCTAGGGGACTTGCCTTAGAAAAGACAGTGATTCCTTGCTTGCCAGGTTCAGAGGTTTGCTCACCTTTCTGTTGTTGCTGATTGAAGGAACAGTGTCCAGTGGGACTGTGAGGACAGAGTGGTCATCTGTGGCCATCACTGGCACCTGTTATATTCTGGGAGGTGGGGAGGTGGGGAGGAGGATGAACTTGGGAAGGATATATAGGGTGATCAACTTGAGGTCCTGAGAGAGACACTGATGATGAATGAACTGTTTCCATCATAGCAGGGTTTTGTGACCTTTGAGGACGTGGCCATTTACTTCTCCCTGGAGGAGTGGGCCCTCCTTGATGAAACTCAGAGGCAACTGTACCACGATGTAATGCTGGAGAACTTGGCACTCATAGCATCGCAAGGTAAGGCCTGGATATACCTCCCAGTGTGCTGATGTCTGTCTTTCTTCCTAACCCAGAGGTAGCTTTGTCTATTCCATAGCCAATCCCTGGGCTCTGTTGACTTCCCCAATTTCCTAGCATATGTCCCATTGGGGAAAGCACCAAGCTTTCTGTATGGCCCTGAGCAATGTAGTCTGTAAACTGCCCTGACATCTGCTGTTTCCAGTCATTCAGGGAAGGCTCTGGGAGTCAAGAATCTTACAGTCAGCCTAAGGGTCTGTCCTTGCTCGCTTGCTGGCAGGGTGACTCTTTCTATATCTGTGGGCCTTTGTGCCCCAGACTGTGCGTTTTACTTCTAGCCAGCATTTCCTCAATTTACCCATGTCAGGAAATGCAAGCATTGTGGTTATTTCTTAATTGGGCCATAGGCTTTTCATGAAGACTCTGCTACAAGGTGTTCTTATAACATTTTTCTATCATGTAGTTTGTTATGTGCTGAGTTGTGTGCCAGTGCTGACCACTCGCCTCTCTGTTCTTGTGTTTAGGGCCTGCATGTCACAGGTCCCACATAGTTACACAACTGGAATTGGGGTTGGCCCTGGTTGCTTCATAGGGTTGACATAGCAAGATACTTTATGAGGAGGACTGACCCTGGTGAGTGAAAACTAAGGGAGAGCAGGACACTATGGCTGTTTTCTAATCATACCATGAAGCTCTCTTGTATTCTTATTGATTGGGTGTCAATTCCACAGGACACACCTCATTGCTAATTTTTTTGTTTAAATAGTCCTTGCACACCAGGTGCAGGCTTTCCATTGGATTTTCTTGGGCCTGAATGCCAATAACTTGTTCAGCACGTCCATGTTCTTAGCAGATGAGGTCCTGATAAAGGCTGTAGGCAGAGGAGTGAATAGGAGACCCTGCTTCTCCTCCCTAAAGTGTGCCTCATCTCTTTGCCTTTCTTCTCATAAGGCCTACCCCATTCTGTGAACTTTAGAGGCCCTTTCCTCATTTGCCATCCACTCTCCAATCCTGAGAAAATTCCTATGGATTCATTCTTTGCTATATCTGATACATGTTTTTGATGGGAGTACTATCTCCTACCGTATTGAACCTGTGCTTCATCAGCATTTCTCTTTTTTCAGGATGTTGGTATGGAACAGCAGATGACAAGGCACCTTCTGCACTGAGTGTTTTTAAAGGATTGTCACAGGGCAGGACTCCAAAGGCAGGTCCATCCAGCCATAAAACTCAACCCTGTGAGGCTTGTATCCCAGTCCTGAAGGATACTGTTGACATGGATGAGTTGCAAGCTACATCCTATGGACAGAAATTACACTTGGATACGACATCAAGAGGCTTCTGGTTGAGTGCAAACCTTTACTGGCTCCAGAAGCTTGATAATGGAGACAAAGTCTTAACAATGGATGTGGACCAAGACTCATTGAACACAGGACTATTCACACTGGAGAAAGACCTTATGAGTGCAGTGAGTGTGGGAAATCCTTTTGCCAATTATCTGTCCTCATTCGACACCAAAGAGTTCACACTGGAGAAAGGCTTTATGACTACAGTGAATGTGGAAAATCCTTTTGAGAAGGGATTTGAGAAGAACTGCAGATTTCATGTGTCAGGGAAGCTGTTAAACTTTGAGGAGGTTGCAAAAGAATTTTCAGCCACCTCAGGCCTTCTCCAGCATCAGGCCATTACCAACAGTGAGAGGCCACAGGGCAGTAGACACTACAGAGTTCCCACCAGAAGAAAGCCTTCCAAGTGTATCGAATCTGTGAAATCTTTTAGTAAGAAATCTGTACTTACTCAACACCAAACTGTTCACATTAGAGAAAGGCCTCATGACTGCAGCGAGTGTGGGAAATCATTTCACCAGAAATCTGTTCTCATTCAACACAAGAAAGTTCACACTGGAAAAAGGCCTTATGAATGCAGTAAATGTGGGAAATGCTTCAGCCGAAGCTCTGCCCTTTTTCAGCATCTGAGAGTTCACACTGGAGAACGGCCATATGAATGCAGTGAATGTGGAAAATCCTTTTGCCACAGCACTAACCTCTATCGTCACAGGAGAGCCCATACTAGAGCAAGGCCTTATGAGTGCAGTGAATGTGGGAAATCATTTAGTTGCAATACTTACCTCATTCGCCACCAAAGGTTTCACAGTGGAGAAAGGCCTTACGAGTGCAGTGAATGTGGGAAATCATTTAGCCAGAAATCTGTACTCATTCAACACCAGAGAGTTCACACTGGAGAAAGGCCTTATGGGTGCAGTGAATGTGGAAAATTTTTTAGCCATAGCTCTGGCCTCTTTCTACACAGGAGAGCTCACACTAGAGCAAGGCCTTATGAGTGCAGTGAATGTGGGAAATCATTTAGTTGCAAAACTGTCCTCATTCGACACCAGACAGTTCATAATGGAGTAAGGCCTTATGAGTGCAATGAATGTGGGAAATCTTATCGCCAGAAATCTATCCTCATTCAACACCAGACAGTTCACACTGGGCAAAAGCCTTATGAGTGTAGTGAATGTGGGAAATCCTATAGCCAAAGCTCTGCCCTTCTTCAGCATCTGAGAGTTCACACTGGAGAAAGGCCGTATGAGTGCAGTGAATGTGGGAAATCTTTTACCCGCAAAAACTACTTCATTGAACACAGGACTGTTCACACTGGAGAAAGACCTTATGAGTGCAGTGAGTGCGGCAAATCTTTTCGCCAGATATCTGCCCTCATTCGACATCAAAGGGTTCACACTGGAGAAAGGCCTTATGACTGCAGTGAATGTGGAAAATCCTTTTGCCAGTTATCTGTTCTCCTTCGACATCAAAGAGTTCACACTGGAGAAAGGCCTTATGAGTGCAGTGAATGTGGGAAATCTTTTATTTACAAATCTCACCTAATGCGACACCAGAGAGTTCACACTAATGAAAGATCTTATGAGTGCAGTGAATGTGGGAAATCCTTTAGCCAAAGCTCTGCCCTCCTTCTGCATCTGGGAGTTCACACTGGAGAACGGCCATATGAATGCAGCGAATGTGGGAAATCTTATCGCCAGAAATCTGTCCTCATTCAACACAAGACAGTTCACACTGGAGAAAGGCCGTATGAGTGCAGTGAATGTGGGAAATCTTTTACCCGCAAAAACTACCTCATTGAACACAGGACCATTCACACTGGGGAAAGACCTTACGAATGCAGTGAGTGTGGCAAATCTTTTCGCCAGATATCTGCCCTTATTCGACATCAAAGAGTTCACACTGGAGAAAGGCCTTATGGCTGCAGTGAATGTGAAAAATCCTTTTGCCAGTTATCTGTCCTCCTTCGACATCAAAGAGTTCACACTGAAGAAGGCCTTATGAGTGCAGTGAATGTGGAAGATCCTTTATCTACAAATCTCACCTAATGCAGCATGAGACAATTCATCACTAATGAAATGACTTATGTATGCAGTGAGTGTAGGAAATCCTTCACCCAAATCTGTGTCTTCTGCATTGGGGATTTCACACTGGAGAAAGGTCATATAAGTGCAGTGAATATGAGAAATCCTATCCCCAGAAATCTGTCCTCATTCAACTAAAGACAGTTCACGCTGGAGAAAGTCCTTATTAGTTCAGTGAATGTGGGAAAACCTTTAATTGAAGCTGTGGCCTCTTTTTAATACAGGAGGGTTCATGTGCAGTGAATATGGCAAAATTTTTTGTTATATTTAACAATGAAGAGTTTCTATAGGACAGAGGCCTCATATATGCAATGAAAGTGTTTTTTGTTTCCCAGTATGCTGACACTTTGAGAATAGCCTTCTTCTTATTGCAGTCTTACATATCTGAGGATATATGGATTTCTGTAAGTTTGCGGCATATGAGAAGCATGTGTAGCCATGTTGTGGTCTCTCAACCTTCCAGTGATCTTTCCAGATTCATTTCATTGTTAGCTTCTGTGGCTGAAGCCATTTCATCTCTACCACCTGGCAGATCCACAGAGTATACATCAGTTACCACACCAAAGTGCTCAGGAAGGCAGACTTGTTGTATTTGTTGGAGGAAATCTTGAGTAACCTGAGCTCTTAGGCAGTTCTCATTTCCTCTTATCTCATTATTTATTGTATAGACCACCCCAGTTTTGGCCCTGGCACCTGATCTGAGTTCTGCTGGAGGCCTGCAGAGATGGACTGCCTTTTTCAGGGACATTGTTTCTTCTGATGAAGTTTTTCAGTTTCTAAGTCACTAAACCAGGAACTGCCTATTGCACGTTTTACTGTCTTGTGCAACAATAAAGGGCCTTCAAAGTTGGAAGTTTTATTCACTGTGAAGTAGTTTGATAGGATAATAGGGCTTTACTAGTTTAAAGGAGTAAATAACTTTTGTGAAGGTCCAGACTTTGTATGCCCCAGCGGGACAGCATTGTGAAAATAGAGCTCTCACTACATTTTTGCCTAGTTTGCATTGTTACTAAGGCCTCCTGGGAGAGACTGTGGGGCTTTCTGCTCCTAATTTTTTGCCCAGATCCTAGAGGTCTGTGGGATCAGAGGTCAGTCTGAGGAGGGGGCAGTTGTGAGAATTTCCATTGTTTCTGGAGACAGCTTGAAGTTTTTCTTGTTCATTGGGGAGATCACATAATTCCCTGCAATGTTGAGAATTCCTTATTCAGATCTGCAGTGGAGCTGTGTTTCTTGAAACCTGGAATTCTGTAGTCTCATCTCTCTAGCTATAAAACTGCAGGGACCTGGCAGGGGGCCATGGTTGATTTAGAAACATTGGGTTGAATAATAGGGAGTGAAGCAGACTGTGGTAAACTAGGTGGAATGTTCCTTTTCTGAAGATGTACCCACAAATGTTCCAGTGACTGGCTCAGCAGGATCAGCGTGTACAGAAATCTCAGGGCCTTCAGGACTGTGTATCTTTTATACCTTAAGACAGAAAAAATAATCTAAGGGCATTATGAATTCCTGTAGCCTTTCTGGCCTGTTTACCTCAAGGATATTGCTACACAGACAATGAAAATAGGATGAAGAGAAGGGCAATTGCTGTCCACAGATAATGGCTTTTGTGCTTCAGCCCCCAGTCTTAACTCAGTTGGAAACGGCTTTTATTATTCCCCTATATTTCCTGCCACTGAGGTATGGCTGCTCCAACAAGGCATGGGGAATTAGATGGTAGAGACAATAATGATTTACATAAGTGTAAACCCATGAAGACATCAAGGTACTCAAAATAATAAACCTATCTCACCCACATATTTTCATTGTGCCTTTCTATAATCTGTTCTTGGTCCTCCAGGCAACTTTTAATTTATAATCATTTACAATTAATAGCTTTGCATTTTCTCAACTTTCCAAATAGTAATCATAAAGTGTTTTTTCTTTATTTTTTATGGTTTTATGCATGCTACATAATTAGAGATTCATACATGTTGCCTATGTGCAGATTTCATTCTTCTGTGTAGCATTTTCTTCTTAGGATATAAGATTCTTTCTTTATCTATCCATCTGCTTATGGACATTTGGGTTATTTTCAAAGTTTAGCTATTGCAAATAAAGCAGCTGCAAATATTTGTGTGCAATTCTTCCTATAGATGTTTGTTTTATTTCTCTTATACTAATAACTCAGAATGCAATGTCTAAATCATGATATAGGCGAATATGTAACCTTTTCAGAAACTTCCAAACTAAACTAAAATGCTGGTTCCTTTTTGCATTTCTGCCAGGAGTGTGTGAGAATTCAATATCTTTACTCCTTTGCGTATACATGGAAGGGTCATTTTTTAATGTTAATTTTTAAAAATATGTTTGTCATGGCATCACACTGTTTTTGAATGTATTTCCCTTCGTACTCACCTTGTTGAGCATTTTTATCGTGTTTATTTATTAGCCTTAGGTAATTCTTGAGGTAAATGTGTATCTAGCCTGTTTTTTTTTTTTTTTTTTTTTTTTTTTGAGACAGAGTCTTGCTTTGTTGCCCAGGTTACAGTGATCACCACAGTGATCGCCATGGCGTCAGTCTAGCTCACAGCAGCCTCAAACTCCTGGGCTCAAGTGATCCTCCTGCCTCAGCCTCCCAAGAATCTGGGACTACAGGCATGCACCACCATGCCTGGCTAACTTTTTTTCTATATATATTAGTTGGCCAGTTAATTTCTTTCTATTTATAGTAGAGATGGGATCTCGCTCTTGCTCAGGCTGGTTTCGAACTCCTGATCTTGAGCAATCCTCCCGCCTCGGCCACCCAGAGTGCTAGGATTACAGGTGTGAGCCACTGTGCCCGGCCTGGCCTGTTTTATATGTTATGAATTTTTGGTTAATTTCGTTTTAGTGACAAATAGACAATGAAACAACATATATTTTGGAATTTTATTTATTCAGTGATATGAATGATGTCCTTGATTTTGAATACTCAAAACCTGTCATTTTCTTTGATTTATTTTTGTGGTATGCACAATGTAATGGCCACCTTTAATATATAAATTGATGTTTTATCAGCATTAATAACATTTTCATCACTCCTCTGAGTGTAGATTTTTAATAATAGCATAAATGAAGCCCCAGTTTTTAGTGTTTGCCATCTTACTTGATGTAAGTAATTCCACCACAACCAATTTCAAATTGCCAACATTTTGTCACTGACTGTGGATAAGTAAAAAGTTGCCAGTAGCACACTATTTCTTTCCTCCTGTTGCAGTAGCTATAAATAACATCAAGCATGTAGGTAATGATACAACATAGTAAAATGATTAAAGAGTGACAAAATTTCAGTATTCATAACTGAAACAACTTAACTGATGTATAATTGATTTAAACTTCACATATTTAAAATATCCATTTGTTTTTCTCAACATATAAAATTACTGATTTACTGATAAAAAGGCATAGTTTATCTTTTGTAATGGCTGTTTTCAAATATATACAAAAGTGGAAAAGCCTCCTGTGAAGCTCTGTGAACTCCTCAGTCTTCCATTATTTATGATTGTTCTTTTCTTTTAATAGGTTCTTGTGTGAATATAAGTTTTCTTTTTCTTTATTTCAGCATATTATGGGGGTACAAATGTTAAGGTTACGTATATTGCCCATGCCCCCTCTCCCCACCCTAGTTAGAGCTTCAAGCGTGACCATCCCCCAGACATTGCATACTCATTATGTTTGTATATACCATCCCCTCCTCCCCACTCCACCTGCCCGACACCCGATAAATGTTATTCCTATGTGTCCACTTAAGTGTTGATCCATTAATACCAATTGTAATGTGCTTGAATCATCCCCAAACCATCCCTCCCCCCACCCCATCACCATCCATGGGAAAATTATCTTCCATGAAAACGGTCCCTGGTACCAAAAAGGTTGGCGACTGCTGAGTAAGGACACAGGTGAACTAAACATCACTACCAATCATCTATAAAATGGGCATCTATAGATTACTTCAACAACAACAGAATAAGCATTTTTATGCTCACGTGGAACATTCACTAAAATAGGCCACATTTTCATTCATAAAAACACATTATCAAACTTAAAAAGGGAAAAAAAATACAATGTCTGCTCTCACAGTACAATGTACCTTAACTACAAATCAATAACAGATAAGTGGTAAATTGCCAAATTCAGGGAGGTTAAGCCACACACTTCTAAATAATACATAAGATGAAGAAATCCCACAGGAAATTTAAAGTATTTTGAACTAAATGTAAATGAAAACATAACATCAAATTTTTGAAATTTGGCTTAAAAGCAGTGCTTACAGGAAAAATTTTTATTTTAAAAATAAAACAACTTATGTAAATTAGAGGGAAATTTGTAGAATTGAATGCATATGTTAGAAAAGAAGAAAGAACTAAAATTAGTAATGTAAGTTCCCTCCTAAGAAAAACAGAAGGCCGGGCACAGTGGCTCAAGCCTGTAATCCTAGCACTCTGGGAGGCCGAGGCGGGCAGATTGCTCGAGGTCAGGAGTTAGAAACTAGCCTGAGCAAGAGCGAGACCCCTGTCTCTACTATATAAATAGAAAGAAATTAATTGGCCAACTAATATATATAGAAAAAAAGTTAGCCGGGCATGGTGGTGCATGCCTGTAGTCCCAGCTACTCGGGAGGCTGAGGCAGGAGGATTGCCTGAGCCCAGGAGTTTGAGGTTGCTGTGAGCTAGGCTGATGCCACGGCACTCTAGCCTGGGCAACAAAGCGAGACTCTGTCTCAAAACAAAAACAAAAACAAAAACAAACAAAGAAAAACAGAAAAAGAAGAACAAATTAAATCTGAAATAAACAGAAGAAAAAATAAACATTAGAGCAAGAATCAATGAAATTGAAAACAGAAAATTAATAGAGAAACCAATAGCTGGATCTTTGGAAAGATCAATAAAACCAGCAAGCTTCTAGGGAGGCTAATTAAGAATAAATCACAGAGGATGCAACTTGCTAGTATCACAAATGAAAAAGAAGATGTGACTACAGATCTCATGGATATTAAAGGATGATATCTTTGCCCTCATGGAAAAAAAAAAAGGATGATAAAAGAATAGCATGAACAACTCTATGGCTACAAATTTGATAACCTAGATGAAATGGATGAATTCCTTGAAAGATACAATCAGCTGGAACTCATGCAAGAAGAAATTAACAATCTTTTTTTTTTTTTTTTTTTTTTTTTGAGACAGAGTCTCACTCTGTTGCCCAGGCTAGAGTGCCTTGGCGTTAGCCTAGCTCACAGCAACCTCAAACTCCTGGGCTCAAGTGATCCTTCTGCCTCAGCCTCCCGAGTAGCTGGGACTACAGGCATGTGCCACCATGCCTGACTAATTTTTTCTAGATATTTTTAGTTGCCCAATTAATTTCTTTCTATTTTTAGTAGAGACAGGGTCTCGCTCTTGCTCAGGTTGGTTTCGAACTCCTGACCTTGAGCAATCCTCCCGCCTCGGCTTCCCAGAGTGCTAGGATTACAGGCATGAGCCAACATGCCAGGCCTGAAATTAACAATCTTAATTGGCTTATATCTATTTCTAAAAAATTGAGTTAATAAATAATAACTTTCCCAAACACACAGCACCAGACCAGATAAATTTGCCAGTGAATTCTACCAAACCTTTGAAAAAGAAATTATATCAGTTTTCTACAATTTTAGAAGACAGAAACAGAGGGAATATTAGCTTATTCTATGAGGCCAGCATCACCCTCATGTCAAAAGGAAAGACATTAGAAAAAAAACAAAAAATAAAGAAGACTACAGATTGACATCTTACGTGAACATAGATGCAAAAATCCTTTGCAAAATATTAGCATATCAAATTGACAATATACACAAAGTATTATACACTATGACCGATGGGATTTATCTCAGGTATGCAGGGTTGGTTAAACTTTCAAAAATGAATTAATGTAATCCATCACATAAACAAGCTAATGAACAAAAATCACATGATCATATCAATTGATGAAGAAAGAGCATTTAACAAAATACAAAACTCGTCATAAAAATTCTCAGAAACCAGGAATAAAGGAAACTTCCTGAACTTGATAAAGGATACCTACAAAAGAACAAATAGCTAAGAAAATACACACAGTGCTGAGAAAATAAAACTTTCCTATTAAGATTGAGAACAACAATTCTTAGACAAGGTGGCATGATGAAATAAAAAAAGAAATTGAAAAAAGCAAACAAAACAAGGAACAAGGCAATGATGTTCCTTCCCATTACTCCTTTTTCAACATTTTAATAGAAGTCCTAGCTAATGCAATAACAACAAATAAAAGGAAGTAAAAGTATAATAATTTGGAAAGGAGAAATAAAACTGTCTTTTTTTGCAGATGACATAATTGTCATTGCAGAAAAGCTGAAGGAACTGACCAAAAAACCTCTGGGATATAAGAAGTGACTATAGCAAGGTTGCAAGACTTAAGGTCAATACACAAGGGTCAACCTCTTTTCTGTGTATCTACAATGAATAATAGGAATTTGAAATTAAAAACACAGTACCATTTACATTAGCATTCCAAAAATGAAACAGGTATAAATATAACAAAATATGTACACGATCTTTAACAGAAAATAAACAAAAAAACTCTTGAAATAAACCAAAGAACTAAAGAAATGCAGAGGTATTACATGTTCATGGATAGGAAGAGTCAAGTATTGACAAGATGACAGTTCTTCCCAACTTCATATATAGATTTAATTCCATCAAAATCTTACCAAGTTATCTTTCAGATACTGATGTACTGATTCTGATATTTATATGTAGAGACCAAAGTTTCATAACTGCCAACACAATATTAAAGGAAAATAAGAAAGTTAAAGGACTTACACAACCCAACGTCAAGACTTACCATAAAACTACAGCACTCATGATGATATTGTATTTGTAAGTAAATGGACAAATAGATTAGTGAAGAAGAATAGAGAGCAACAAATAGGTGCACATGAATGTGATCAACTGGTTTTGATAAGGGAGCAAATGCAAGACAAGGAAGAATAGATGATTTTTTCAACAAACAGTGCTAGAACAATTGTATATTCACATGCAAACAAAATGGATCTATCAGGAGTTCAAAATGAATCTAGACACAGACCTTACACCCTTCACAAAATTTACTAAAACTTTATCTCAGACCTAAATATAAAATGGAAACTCTAAAAGTTCTAGAAGAAAACATAAGTGAAGATCTAAATGACCTTGAGTTGGGTGTTGACATTTTAGATAGGATATGAAAGACATAATTCAAGAAAGGAAAAATTGATAAGCTGGATTTAAAAATTTTCCATCTGGGCCGGGCGCAGTGGCTCACGCCTGTAATCCTAGCACTCTGGGAGGCCAAGGCGGGCGGATAGCTCAAGGTTAGGAGTTTGAAACCAGCCTGAACAAGAGCGAGACCTCGTCTCTACTATAAATAGAAAGAAATTAATTGGCCAACTAATATATATAGAAAAAATTAGCCGGGCA